GTTTAACGTCCTTCTACAGGGTCTCAAAAAAAGCACCCCCTCTAGCGGCGCGCAGTCGTGTCCGATTTCCACCGTTTAGGGAGCTATCGAAAGCTCTGGAAAGGCGAGAAACAAGGAGGGTTGATTTTCTTTATTATCATTTTTATTCGCGAATTTTAGCTCCAAAAACCAAGAAAACGGCAGATTTACGCGAGATCTGCATGCTAATTGCCAAATTCCTATTGAAAAGCTGCATGTTTTCTACAAAAACGTTGAATATCGGACGAATAAGAATAAATTTTAGTTATTGAAACCCGCTTGTTTTCTCCCTTTTCGCGGGCTTCGAATGGTATAAAATCATCCTGATCTGAGTTTCCCCCGGACCGCTAGAGGGGGGTGCTTTTTTTTTTGGGACACCCAGTATTTCCGAATCGATTTTGCCTGATAAAACGTAGTTTTTTTCTGGCCGAATTAGCGTTTCGTTTAAAACAATTTATTGTCAGCCGCGATTTGTTAACGTGCGGGATTGACCAGCACCTCACAAACCCCAGGATTCCCCTCTGTATATCCGACGCACTCCCCTCCAACGTGTCTGCAGTCCGCGTCGTCGACGCACTGCCATGGGTCCAGTTCCTGGAATTGTCAAGTCCCAGAAAGCTTCATCTAGTCGACCCCCAACCCATGATTGCTGCCTAATAACCGGATACTGCCTCAACTCCACTGCTCCGCATGTTCGTTAAAACACGTGAATTTCGAAGTTTTGACAAACATTGAATCCATCCTGCCCTTTCCATTATAAAAATTGAGCAGAGAATTAACGAGAGTCATGAATGGGGGTCAAGGTTTCGCACAAAAATATGATGGTACTTTTCGGCAGCAACTCTTGTGTTTTTCGACCGTTTCAAACAAAAAATCGCCAGGCACCAAAATTTCGGCTTCGTGACCCTTTAAACGTCGAAAAATCCAGCATGAGCCTTACCCCGCAGAACTTGAGCAGCACGGGGAGAATTCTTAATTTACAAATCTCGTTCTGTGCCCCCAATTTTTGGCGTCGGCACTCAGCATCTCGGACGCATGTATGGGAATGCTGCAATAAATTTCGAATTATCACTTATATATAAATTGCTAATGTCCGTGCGCCCGACCGTCCGTCCGCACGGATCGCTGCGGGACCCCAATGCCCCCAGGTCAACGTGCCCCCAGGGCATGTCCCGGGGAAAGGGGGAGGGGTCAGAGGTCACAGGGGCCGTTCGCGCATTAATGGTAGCAGAAATCCCCAAACAAAGGAGTAATTGTTTCGCAACGGTTTTTATTGCTTTTTTTAGTATTAAAGAAGGTTTAGGACTTTGTTTTAAAGGGTATTCTAGCCATTACGCTATTCTTAGATGTTTTTTAGTATTAAAGAAGGGTGAATAACTTTCTTTCAATGGTATTATAGCCATTACGCGTTTCTTAGATGTTTTTTTAGTAGCTAAGAAGGGGTACAACTTTGTTTCAAAGAGTATTCTAGCCATTACGCGTTTCGTAGATGTTTTTTTAGTAGCTAAGAAGGGGAAATAACTTTCTTTCAAGGGTATTCTAGCCATTACGCGTTTCTTAGATGTTTTTTTAGTAGCTAAGAAGGGGTACAACTTTCTTTCAAGGGTATTCTAGCCATTACGCGATTCTTAGATGTTTTTTTAGTAGCTAAGAAGGGGTACAACTTTGTTACAAAGAGTATTCTAGCCATTACGCGTTTCGTAGATGTTTTTAGTAGCCAAGAAGGGGAAATAACTTTTCTTTCAAGGGTATTCTAGCCATTACGCGTTTCTTAGATGTTTTTTTTAGTAGCTAAGAAGGGGTACAACTTTCTTTCAAGGGTATTCTAGCCATTACGCGATTCTTAGATGTTTTTAGTAGCTAAGAAGGGAAATAACTTTCTTTCAAGGGCATTCTAGCCATTACGCGTTTCTTAGATGTTTTCTTCGTAGCTAAGAAGGGGTACAACTTTCTTTCAAGGGCATTCTAGCCATTACGTTTCTTAGATGTTTTTTGGTAGCTAAGAAGGGGTACAACTTTGTTTCAAAGAGTATTCTAGCCATTACGTGTTTCATGATGTTTTTTAAGTAGCTAAGAAGGGGTACAACTTTGTTTCAAAGAGTATTCTAGCCATTACGCGTTTCGTAGATGTTTTTTTAGTAGCTAAGAAGGGGAAATAACTTTCTTTCAAGGGTATTCTAGCCATTACGCGTTTCTTAGATGTTTTTTAGTAGCTAAGAAGGGGTACAACTTTGTTTCAAAGAGTATTCTAGCCATTACGCGTTTCTTAGATGTTTTTTTAGTAGCTAAGAAGGGGTACAACTTTGTTTCAAAGAGTATTCTAGCCATTACGCGTTTCGTAGATGTTTTTTTAGTAGCTAAGAAGGGGAAATAACTTTCTTTCAAGGGTATTCTAGCCATTACGCGTTTCTTAGATGTTTTTTTTAGTAGCTAAGAAGGGGTACAACTTTCTTTCAAGGGTATTCTAGCCATTACGCGATTCTTAGATGTTTTTTTAGTAGCTAAGAAGGGGAAATAACTTTCTTTCAAGGGCATTCTAGCCATTACGCGTTTCTTAGATGTTTTTTTCGTAGCTAAGAAGGGGTACAACTTTCTTTCAAGGGCATTCTAGCCATTACGCGTTTCTTAGATGTTTTTTTAGTAGCTAAGAAGGGGTACAACTTTGTTTCAAAGAGTATTCTAGCCATTACGCGTTTCGTAGATGTTTTTTTAGTAGCTAAGAAGGGGAAATAACTTTCTTTCAAGGGTATTCTAGCCATTACGTTTCCTTGGGTTTTTTTAGCAGCTATAGAAGGGGCACAACTTGTTTCAAAGAGTATTCTTAGCCATTACGCATGCCTTAGATGTTTTTTTATTAGCTAAGAAGGGGAATAACTTCTTTCAAGGGTATTCTAGCCATACTACACGTTTCTTAGATGTTTTTTAGTAGCTAAGAAGGGGTACAACTTTGTTTCAAAGAGTATTCTAGCCATTACGCGTTTCTTAGATGTTTTTTTAGTAGCTAAGAAGGGGAAATAACTTTCTTTCAAGGGTATTCCAGCCATTACGGTTTCTTAGATGTTTTGTGTAGCGAAGAAGGGGTACAACTTTGTTTCAAAGAGTATTCTAGCCATTACGCGTTTCTTAGATGTTTTTTTAGTAGCTAAGAAGGGGAAATAACTTTCTTTCAAGGGTATTCTAGCCATTACGCGTTTCTTAGATGTTTTTTAGTAGCTAAGAAGGCACAATTTTACTGTTTCAAAGAGTATTCTAGCCATTACGCTGTTTCTAGATGTTCTTTGGTAGCTAAGAAGGGACTAACTCTTGTTTCAAAGAGTCTTTCTAAGCCATTACGCTTCCATGTAGATGTTTTTTAGTAGCTAAGAAGGGGAAATAACTTTCTTTCAAGGGTATTCTAGCCATTACGCGTTTCTTAGATGTTTTTTAGTAGCTAAGAAGGAAATCTCTTTGCTTTAAAGGGTATTCTAGCCATTACGTCGTTTCTTTAGATGTTTTTTAGTAGCTACGAAGGGAAATAACTTTCTTTCAAGGGTGATTCTAGCCATTACGCGTTTCCTAGATGTTTTTTAGTAGCTAAGAAGGGAATAACTTTGTTTCAAAGAGTATTATAGCCATTACGTGTTTCTTAGATGTTTTTTTTAGTAGCTAAGAAGGGGAAATAACTTTCTTTCAAGGGTATTCTAGCCATTACGCGTTTCTTAGATGTTTTTTAGTAGCTAAGAAGGGGTACAACTTTGTTTCAAAGAGTATTCTAGCCATTACGCGTTTCTTAGATGTTTTTTTAAGTAGCTAAGAAGGGGTACAACTTTGTTTCCAAAGAGTATTCTAGCCATTACGCGTTTCTTAGATGTTTTTTAGTAGCTAAGAAGGGGTACAACTTTGTTTCAAAGAGTATTCTAGCCATTACGCGGTTTCTAGATGTTTTTTTTAGTAGCTAAGAAGGGAAATAACTTTCTTTCAAGGGTATTCTAGCCATTACGCGTTTCTTAGATGTTTTTTAGTAGCTAAGAAGGGGTACAACTTTGTTTCAAGGGTATTCTAGCCATTACGCGTTTCTTAGGATGTTTTTTTAGTAGCCAAGAAGGGAATAACCTTTCTTTCAAGGGTATTCTAGCCATTACGGTTTCTTAGATGTTTTTTAGTAGCTAAGAAGGGAAATAACTTTCTTTCAAGGGTATTCTAGCCATTACGTTTCTTAGATGTTTTTTTAGTAGCTAAGAAGGGGTACAACTTTGTTTCAAAGAGTATTATAGCCATTACGCGTTTCTTAGATGTTTTTTTAGTAGCTAAGAAGGGTGACAACTTTGTTTCAAAGAGTATTCTAGCCATTTCGAGTTTCTTAGATGTTTTTTTAGTATCAAAGAAGGGAGAGAACTTTGTTTCAAAGAGTATTCTAGCCATTACGCGTTTCTTAGATGTTTTTTAGTAGCTAAAAAGGGGAAATAACTTTCTTTCAAGGGTATTCTAGCCATTACGCGTTTCTTAGATGTTTTTTAGTAGCTAAGAAGGGTACAACTTTGTTTCCAAAGAGTATTCTAGCCATTACGCGTTTCTTAGATGTTTTTTTAGTAGCCAAGAAGGGGAAATAACTTCTTTCAAGGGTATTCTAGCCAGTCCGCGTTTTTCCTAGATGTTTTTTTAGTAGCTAAGAAGGGGTACAACTTTGTTTCAAAGAGTATTCTAGCCATTACGCGTTTCTTAGATGTTTTTTAGTAGCTAAGAAGGGGAAATAACTTTCTTTCAAGGGTATTCTAGCCAGTCCGCGTTTCTTAGATGTTTTTTTAGTAGCTAAGAAGGGGTACAACTTTGTTTCAAAGAGTATTATAGCCATTACGCATTTCTTAGATGTTTTTAGTAGCTAAGAAGGAATAACTTTCTTCAAGGGTATTCTAGCCATTACGCGTTTCCGTAGATGTTTTAGTAGCTAGGAAGGGGAAATAACTTTCTTCAAGGGTATTCTAGCCATTACGCGTTTCGTAGATGTTTTTTAGTAGCCAAGAAGGGAAATAACTTTCTTTCCAAGGGTATTCTAGCCATTACGCGTTTCGTAGATGTTTTTAGTAGCTAAGAAGGGGAAATAACTTTCTTTCAAGGGTATTCTAGCCATTACGCTTTCTGTAGATGTTTTTTTAGTAGCTAAGAAGGGGAAATAACTTTCTCTCAAGGGTATTCTAGCCATTACGCGTTTCGTAGATGTTTTTTTAGTAGCTAAGAAGGGGAAATAACTTTCTTTCAAGGGTATTCTAGCCATTACGCGTTTCGTAGATGTTTTTTTAGTAGCTAAGAAGGGGAAATAACTTTCTTTCAAGGGTATTCTAGCCATTACGCGTTTCCTAGATGTTTTTTAGTAGCCAAGAAGGGGAAATAACTTTCTTTCCAAGGGTATTCTAGCCATTACGCTTGTAGATGTTTTTTAGTAGCTAAGAAGGGAAATAACTTCTTTCAAGGGTATTCTAGCCATTACGCGTTTCGTAGATGTTTTTTAGTAGCTAAGAAGGGGAAATAACTTTCTTTCAAGGGTATTCTAGCCATTACGCGTTTCGTAGATGTTTTTTAGTAGCTAAGAAGGGAAATAACTTTCTTTCAAGGGTATTCTAGCCATTACGCGTTTCGTAGATGTTTTTTTAGTAGCTAAGAAGGGGAAATAACTTTCTTTCAAGGGTATTCTAGCCATTACGCGTTTCCTAGATGTTTTTTTAGTAGCTAAGAAGGGGAAATAACTTTCTTTCAAGGGTATTCTAGCCATTACGCGTTTCCTAGATGTTTTTAGTCTAAGAAGGGGAAATAACTTTCTTTCAAGGGTATTATAGCCATTATGCGTTTCTTAGATGTTTTTTAGTAGCTAAGAAGGGTATAACTTTGTTTCAAAGAGTATTCTAGCCATTACGCGTTTCTTAGATGTTTTTTTAGTAGCTAAGAAGGGGTACAACTTTTGTTTCAAGAGTATTCTAGCCATTACGCATTCTCGTAGATGTTTTTTTAGTAGCTAAAGAAGGGGAAATAACTTTCTTTCAAGGGTATTCTAGCCATTACGCGTTTCTGTAGATGTTTTTTTAGTAGCTAAGAAGGGGAAATAACTTTCTTCAAGGGTATTCTAGCCATTACGCGTTTCGTAGATGTTTTTTAGTAGCTAAGAAGGGGAAATAACTTTCTTTCAAGGGTATTCTAGCCATTACGCGTTTCGTAGATGTTTTTTTAGTCTCGAAGAAGGGTACAACTTTGTTTCAAGGGTCTTCTATGTTTTTTTATTCCTAAAGAAGGTTATAGCTTTGCTTCTGGGGGGTGCGTTAACCATTAGACTTCCCTTCTCTTTTTGTATCAGCTACGGATGTTGGGGGGTTTCTTTCAGGGGGAATAGGAGGGGTGGAAGGTTCTTTGGTTTTGGAGAAGGTGCATAGGTAGATCACGGAAGGTCTCCGCGCCAAGCGGGAAATATACTAAAGAGAATGGGAAGCACCCTGTATTGCCTTGCCCCCCGGGAGGGCCAGGCAAAAAAAGCCGCGAAGCGGCTTTTTTTGACTGGTCAAGGTTAAACTTTTACTCACCAAATCTGTGAAAGCGAAGACACCGGCCAGAAAGACAGGCAAGAGTGGTAACGTAATCTTCATGCCCAAAAATGGGTAGCCACGGCATTCTTAGGCCTTTTCTTCCGGGGACTGCTTCATTTTGCAAGCAGAGCATTCCACAGGCCACTGTCGGCAACGATGCGCATCGGACCTTAATAAAGCCACTCTATGCTTACTGATCAACTCCAACGGGGTGTTTTTTTGGGGGGTTGGCCACTTGCAAAGGAATATTTTATTTAAGTGCTATAATTTTTTCGAATTACTGTAACACCAGAGCCACCGCAGCAGACATTACCGGGTACAATTTTTACGTGTCCTGTATTAGTACGTTGATGTACAATATTAAGCACATTTATCTTTCCAAGTCTCATTCCTCATCGTCTGGCATTCGCGAATTACCTACAATTCCCGGGGTCTCCCTCGGAATATCCGCGGCACGTCCCACCAAACTTCTCGCAGTCGGCGTCGTCGACGCACTGCCACATTGCCAAATCCTGAACGGCGAATGGTTTCAAACTTCATGGCAATGTTGAAATAGCGCTAGGCGTCAGCATAAGATTAAATAAATAGAGACCAATACGCACCCCGTACAATTTCATCATGGGGAGAATCTGCAATTTGCAGACTCGATTCTTGCTCTCTGAACCCGACGTCCACAATCCGCATCGCGAAAGCAGTGTTCGAAATCCTGAATTTGGATCGGGGTTCATTCAGTTGATCTTTTCCATACAAGAGCGGCGGCACCAGCCAGAAATGTCAGCAGCAGAACAAGCCGAACTTTCATCTTTGAATTGGAAATGTTGGTTCCAACGCGACTGCCGCGTCCTTTTCGGTAGGAAACTGCTTCATTTTGCACGCAAAGCATTTGATCGCTGACTCTTACTTCTTCCAAGTCAATGATTCGTACAACAAGACCGACTGAGGAAGTTGGGACATTGTCGAATGTTGTCTATCCGAAAAAAGGCTAGACTTTATTTTACCCCCTCCCCCAGCCGGAAGTTCTACAATTTTTTCGAGATTTCCGCTTTTTAGTCGTGTTTTTTCAATACGCCATTCGCTAGAGCATGAAAAAATATACTAAAAGTTTTAATGACCGTTCAAAATAATGGAATATAAAAAAGTCATAGCAAAAAATTTTTGGGAACTCCGGCTGCGGCGGGAGGGGGGAGCAAAGTCTAGCCCAGAAAACTTCCGGCCGACAAGCGAGGGGCAAAGCCGATAGCAAATTTACTTTGAAAACCCTTTAAAATCTTTAAAGGCTGTGAATTATTCCTTATAAAAATACTTTGTTGCTTATTGAGCATCATAATAAGATTTATTGGGTTCGACCCAAAACGCCTGATCATGGTGCCACCAGACCCACGCAAATACCAGGTTTTCCGTCCGAATAGGTGATACATCTCGTCCCATACCGCTTGCAGTCGTCGGCGGCTAAGCAACGACCTGGGTGTACTTCCTTAAAATTTACAAGGATTTGAAGCAAAATGTGACCAAAATATGAGAGATTTTTATTATAGTCGATTGTTCAACAGAATTTTACCGCGCAGTGGCTGCCGGCCCGCCATTTATCACAATACATACGTCTGCCTGATAGTCCAGGACCTTGGCAGTCGGCGTCTTGGTTGCAAATCTGGATTGATTTCGCTAAAGATCAGCAATTCCAGTTTCTAGAAATCATGGCGCTATCCTTTTGAGATACAGGGTGTCGGCTACGGTTTACTTTGCCCCCCCCCCCCAGCCGGAAGTTTTTGGCTATAACTTTTTTTTGTTTTACATTATTGTAGGCTCAAATTAAAACTCTTAGTATATTTTTCGACGCTCTATCGAATGGCGTTGCAAAAATCCCGACAAAATAAGCGAAAATAACGACAACTTTGAGACCCTTCGGCTGTGGGGGGGGGGGCGGTAAAGTAAACTCTTACCCAGGTTGTCCCAAACAAATCGCCCCCCCTCTAGCATTCCGGAGAAAAGTCGGATCTGCATGATTCTTTCACCATTCGAAAGCTTTCGGAAAGGCGAGCAAGCAAGCGCTTTTGGTCTTACAAAATTTTTAGCCCGCCCTCGATATTCAACGATTTCTTAAAAGAATCAAATCAGCCCCGGTCTGTTTGCTTTTTAGCAAGCAATTAATATGCTGGTTTTGCATAAAATCTGCAGTTTGGATGGATTTTCGTGGTAAATTTAGTGAATTAAAATGAACGTAGTATTGGCAAACAAAAAGTGCGTGTTTACTCGCCTTTTCAAGAGCTTTCGATAGATACCTAAATCGTCACAATCGTACCTGACTGCGGCCCAGTAGAGGGGGTCGATTTTTTGGGATACTCTGTATACTGTATCAAAGCTACCTTCCCAACAGCTTGCACATGGACAACAACAGCGAGAAGACCCAGGAAAAAGAGCAGCGAACGCTTCATTCATGCGAGGTATTTTGAAAACCGGTTCCCTTTCCGAGACCTTTGGCCAGACCGTGTTTCATTTTGTAAGCATAACGTCTGTTCGGGGGTATAAGTTTGTTTTGCAAGTCTAATGCGAGAAACCAGGCCAAGGTCCAAAGTTATCGGCTTTGAGTCGTCGTACTGTGGGCCCCGTAGAAGCTTGATCGGCCTAGCTGATTCGAAAACGCTATGACCGAATGAAGTTTCTCGTATAAACATACACAGGGTGTCCAAAAAAACTAACCATCTGGCATTTCGCCGTCTTCCATCCAATCGGTCCCAAAATTGGACGAGAGGTGTATCAGACCCTAAATAATCACAATCCTGACTGATAGCCCCAAGCTATAGTAGTTCTCGAGTTAGAACAAAAACAATATTAATTTTCCATTTTTCATAGGATTTCAGTGGAATTAGACCCCCTAAACAGTCAGTGAATATGATTCTGTAGGCCTTCTTTACGCTAAGGATTTTTCCGGGCTAAACTAACAAGGAGTGCTTTTTTTGAGTCCTCGGCAAAACCTTACGAGGCCTAACTCATTCGATAGAGAATTGAATTCTGTACAAAACCCCGTTGTTTTTTTTTGCAGAATGGCTATCACTGATTTTATAAAATTTTAAAACGGCACCCAAATGCCTCTCTTTTGGCTTGAAAGGCACTCATGGTAAGAGACGGTTACTAGTATTTTAATTTTATAAAATCAGGGATAGCCATTCTGCAAAAAAGAGCAACGGGGTTTTGTTCAGAATCGAATTCTCTATCGAATGAGCTAGGTCTCGTAAGGTTTTGCTGATGACTCAAAAAAAGCACTCCTTGTAAGCTTGGATTGAAGCGATTTCTGCGACGCAACATTACTCAAGTTCTTCAACGAAATTAGGAATTCGCAGCCGGAAGTCGATGCAAATCGATGAAAAGTCCAGAAGTTGGCCGAAAAAACTGTTTAGAATTTCGGAAAAAACAGTATTTTTATTATAACTCGAAAACTACTCAAGCTATGGGGCTAAAAATCGGGATTTTTTTGCTATTTACGGTTTGTTACGCCTCTCTCCAATTTTGGGACCAATTTGATGTAAGATGGCGAAATACCAGATGGTTCGTTTTTTTTTTGGGCACCCTGTAGAGGATCGTGGACTTGCGGTCGCATCGTGCTTCGCTGGTGTTTCAATGTTTGGTGTTAAATGGGCACGGATAAGCGGGTAAAGGTCGCTTAACGGGGGGATATAGCGGGGAGGGAAACCATTTTCCGTAGGGTTTTTAGTGGTTAATGCTTCCCCGTGCGCGCTCATCTTTCTTTCATTTTTCCCGGATCCACATGGTCTTCAGTAATTTATTATTAGCAACAGCTTCAATTTTCATGCTCACCAGCAATAACCGGGCCTCCCCTTGGTAGCTCTCACGCACATAACAGCGGACCCAGGGCAGTCGTCATGCCTCGCGCAATGGCCAATTGCCAGTAACTGAAAGTTTGGAAGTTTTTCAATCCACGTCTTTTTACAGGCTCTTTTATATGGAACCTTGACCATTGCCTGCGAATGACACTACAGAAACAATCTACGCAACTGACTCACCTCGCAATGCCCCAGGAACTCCCGGCCAAACCATGTGCAGTACTTTCCCTTGGGGCAGTTGTCGTTGCTCAGGCAAGGCTGTAAAGCGGTTGAAGGAAGGGGAACAGGGAATTGCGGCTCGAAACGGCTGCGATTCCTACCTCGTTGGCGATTTTGGCATCAGCAAGCAATGCGCACAGCAGCAGCAGCAGTACCCAAAGATTCATCGTCGAGGTGGTGAAGTCGAACGTCTTTCCGACGCTTTTTCTACCAGGCACAGCTTCATTTTGCAAGCAAAAGATTTGTTGGCAGGAGCTCCTTTTTGCAAGTCAACGAGACAAGTCCCTTTTTACGGGCCACTGCTTCATTTTGCAAACCAGAAGTCCAGGGGCTCCACCCCTTTTTCGAAAAGAAACGGTGCGGATATTTTCGAAAGTCGGAATTAAAATCGGAAATCACTAACGTTTTTTGCCAATAAAAAGTAGTTTTTAGGATATGCGGACAGAAGGTCGCCCGACAAACGATAATTCGATGTAGAATTTTCGTGAGCATTTCTTACGTCTGGAAACAGCATGAGACCGTTTTGTGTAGACGAGGCCCTCAAGCAACGATACGCAAAGCTACGCCTGGTCATCTCTGTGTGTAATTTACACCAGGATCGATCGCCAAGAGAGTTGTTTGTCACGCGTGCAGTCACTGTGTTTCAGATTTTCCCCGGATCCACTTGCCATCAGTAATTTATTATTGGCAACCGCTTTAATCTTCATGCTCACAAACAATAACCGGGCTCCCCCACGGCAACTCCGACGCACATAACAGCGGACGGAGCGCAATCATCGCGCATCCTCGCAATGTCCCCAAAACTCCCAGCCATACCATGTACAGTACTTTCCCTTGGGGCAGGCGTCGTGGTCCATGCAAGGCTGCAAAACGGTTGAAGGAATGGGGGAAATTGTTGCGTAAGTAGCAGCCTGATTCTTACCTCGCTGGCAATTGCGGCATCAACAACAAGGACACCCAGCAGCAGCAGTACCCAAAATTTCATCCTCGAAGTGATGAAGTCGAACCCCTTTCGGCGCTTTTTCTACCAGGGTCGCTTCATCTTGCAAGCAAAGAATTTGTGGGGAAACGCTTCCTTTTTGCGAGTCGGCAATCAGCATTGGTCGATAGAGCTGGGAGGTCTCTGGCCCAACCAAAAATGTATACTAGGCTGGATGTACACGAAAGGCTGCAATCGTTTATAAAGTTCGGTATTTGTCAGGATGTATACAGGGTGTTCAAATAAAAACGCCCACCTCTAACTCGATGCATAATTAACGCACCGGCATTCCAGTTACCGTCTTCCATAGCCTAGACAAAAAGACAATTTTAACAGACTTCCTGGCTTCGAGGACATTTAAGACTTTCCTCATACTGAATCGAAAAGCCGCGTAGAGGACATGATTACGATACATTTGGGAGGAGCCGGCGGGTCGCGTGTCGCGTTCCGTATCGTGCCGTGTGCCAGGGTGCGTCTTGCGCTACATATCGCGCTGCGTGTCGGGATGCGTCTTGCGCTACGTAAGGCGCTGCGTGCCAGGGTGCGTCTTGCGCTACGTAAGGCGCTGCGTGTCGGGATGCGTCTTGCGCTACGAATCGCGAGGCGTGTCGTACTGGTATCCTCGGGATGCTCAGGATGCCTGCATATCGCGCTGCGTATCAAACTTCGTGTCGCGCTGCGTGTCGCCTTACGTGTCGAGAGCGTTATAGCCACCAACATATGCAACTGCCTTTCACCGAATTTAATAAACGCAAACGGGTTTCAATTTTTTGAGGTCCATTGAGCCCTGGAACCCTGCGCACGCGTCGCGTATCGCGGTACAACTAATTCAAAACAACAACTAAAACAACAGTTTGAAAAATCATATCACACTTTATTCACTGTCTACAGAATTTTTGGCGCCAGAATTTATCACGGCACCCGCCGGGCTTCCCTTCCTCATACCCACGACATTCGAGGTTCGAGTCGTAGGCGCAGTCGCTGTCATCGACGCAAGTTGCCGGTTCGAGCAACTGAAAATAGATTTCTATTCATAAATTGTGATTCTTATTTAAAGGAACATTAATTCATAAAGCCAAAATTATTTTAGAAGCCAAAAAATAAATACCGTGCACAGTTTGAACCCTTGTTCCGCGTTGAATTTACAGTGCATGTGCTCCCCCTCAAACTGGTTACGACGGCAATAGTGGTCCTTTACGCATACCTTAAAAAATAAATTTAGATTGACGGATCTCGATTTTTACATAGGTTTCAGTAGCCGCTACAGTAGTCACGAAAGCCAGCAACAGGACGGGAGTGGGGTTCATGTTTAATATTACGATTTTTATGGCTTGGGGCTATATATCGCCGCTTCATTATAAAAACACAACATCGCGAGGTGTGCCGAAAGTGAAATTAAAATTCCAAAATAAATTTTATTTTATATACAGTTTCGTTGGGGGGGGGGGGGCAAAAAGTATTTCTTTTGCGCGTTGGAAAAGCCGTAGGATTTGTGAAAGTAAAAAAAATAAGGGTTTGAGGTGGCAGACGGGACAGCTTTTCACGCTCTACCTCACTAGGGTCGCAAAATAATCACTTATATATAAATTGCTAATGTCCGTGCGCCCGACCGTCCGTCCGCACGGATCGCTGCGGGACCCCTATGCCCCCAGGCTATGCCCCCAGGGCATGTCCCGGGGAAAGGGGGAGGGGTCAGAGGTCACAGGGGCCGTTCGCGCATTAATGGTAGCAGAAATCCCCAAACAAAAGAGGAATTGTTTCGCAACGGTTTTTATTGCTTTTTTAGTATTAAAGAAGGTTTAGGACTTTGTTTTAAAGGGTATTCTAGCCATTACGCTATTCTTAGATGTTTTTTAGTATTAAAGAAGGGTGAATAACTTTCTTTCAAGGGTATTCTAGCCATTACGCGTTTCTTAGATGTTTTTTAGTAGCTAAGAAGGGGAAATAACTTTCTTTCAAAGGGTATTCTAGCCATTACGCGTTTCTTAGATGTTTTTTTAGTAGCTAAGAAGGGGAAATAACTTTCTTTCAAGGGTATTCTAGCCATTACGCGTTTATTAGATGTTTTTTTAGTAGCTAAGGAGGGGAAATAACTTTCTTTCAAGGGTATTCTAGCCATTACGCGTTTATTAGATGTTTTTTTAGTAGCTAAGAAGGGAATATACTTTCTTTCAAGGGTATTCTAGCCATTACGCGTTTCTTAGATGTTTTTTTAGTAGCTAAGAAGGGAATATACTTTCTTTCAAGGGTATTCTAGCCATTACGCGTTTCTTAGATGTTTTTTTAGTAGCTAAGAAGGGAATATAGTTTCTTTCAAGGGTATTCTAGCCATTACGCGTTTCCTAGATGTTTTTTTTTTTGAGTCTCGAAGAAGGGTACAATTTTGTTTCAAGGGTCTTCTATGTTTTTTTATTCCTAAAGAAGGTTATAGCTTTGCTTCTGGGGGGTGCGTTAACCATTAGACGTCCCTTCTCTTTTTGTTTAGGATCAGCTACGGATGTTGGGAGGTTTCTTTCAGGGGGAATAGGAGGAGTGGAAGGTTCTTTGGTTGTGGAGGAGGTGCATAGGTAGATCACGGAAGGTCTCCGCGCCAAGCGGGAAATATACTAAAGAGAATGGGAAGCACCCTGTATTGCCTTGCCCCCCGGGAGGGCCAGGCAAAAAAAGCCGCGAAGCGGCTTTTTTTGACTGGTATATTATAAATACTGTTGTTCGTTTGAAACAGTTTTTTAATATTCATATTCATCTTTTAATAACCTTACAATTTTTTCTAAAAAAATGGATCCAAATATTGTTTTCCGACCAAAATCAAAAATTTCGACGTTTTGCCAAGGATTTTAAGTCTATGTTTGCACTTAGATATAATTGGATTTTAACAAAAAACTATTAAAATACTTGCGATTACATTGCCAGGCATTTGCCAACTAATACAAAAAATTTTTCCCCCACCATAATACAAAAGCACGAAATTAGACAACGTATGACTACGACTACCTGAAACTTGGCTCGATTGGAAGCTCATATAAAGGAGTAGTCCGAGTAAGTAGTTGTAGGGTTACGTTAGCAATTCTGGAGTCATTATCTCCTCCAGTAACCCATCGCGTTTGAAAACTATCAAAAGAACAGATCCAAATTCATTTATTGGTCAAAGCGCTTTCTTCATCAGTAGTTTAGCAGGCATATTCCGGGTTTTCCTTCCGAATAATTCTTACAGTCGTAGTCAACTTGTTCGGGACAATCCTCGTCGCGAGCACAGCTAAGCTCGCGAAGAGGCTAAAAAAAATGGATAAATTCATCTGAAAATTTAGATTCGAATGTCAATTTTTCTCAAGAGGGAAGGTTTTTTAGCTCGGCCGGGTATTGCTACAAATGATCGACCATTCTATAAAGGATTAAAAATCACATGAGTCTTGAAAGGTTTTGCCAAAAAGTTTCCCTGAAAGAGATATAACAATTTTAAAGTGATTTTAAAGTCTTGAAGTGATATTATACACGTAATTATAATTATTTTCTACTTCATAATCATCCATGTCGGCAAAAGGGTCTTGTGAAAAAAGCATTTCAAAAAAGACCCGCGTGAAAAGGGTTGAGGTGTTTAAATTTGTAACGCGAAAGGCGACTACAGGGTGTCCCAAAAAAAGCACCCCTCCGGCATTTCGCCATATCACATCCGACCGGTCCCATACTTTCCAGTAGGGCGTATCAGACCATAAATAACCACAATCCTGAGTTATGGTCCGATAGCTACAGTAGTTTTCGAGTTATCGCCAAAATACTGTTGGTTGACGCGATTCTTAGCAGTTTTTTCGGCCAGGTTTTTGGACGTTGCATCGATTTGCATCGACTTCCGGCTACGAATCCCTAATTTCGCTTGATAACGAGGGTGACTTTGGGTTACAAAATTGTTGAAATCAACGGTTATTTGATTAATTTTTATCAAGAAAAAATTTCTAGGGGTAAAGTAGGCCTGCAGCTTCATTTTCACTTAATATTCGATGGGTCGATTCCAACGAAAACCTTATGAAAAACCGATAAGAAAGTTTATTTTTGCTGTATCTCGAATATTAATGTTGCTGGCGGGCTATGACTCAGGATTGTGGTTATTTAGGGGCTAATACACCCCTGGACCAATTTTGGGACCGATCTGTTGTAAAATGGCGAAATGCGGCAGGGTTTTTTTCGGGACACCCTATACTATCTACTGAAAATGGTTGATGCCTGGATAATAGCGCACCACCGTAAAAGAACGTTGATTAGAAAGGCATCTATCGCAAAAAATCAATTACCGTGCATAGCTTGCGACCATTGGATCGCGCTTTGCAATACATGCGCCGGCTCAGGAACCGGTTACGGCAATATGCGTCGTTGTGGCAATTCTGAAAAGAGCGTAGTTATGACAAAATAGATTTTCGAAGTTCTCTTACCAAATCATCTTGCCAAATAGCCGCCACCGGTGACAGGACGGCAAAGAGCAGCAGAAGTAGCAGCGAAGTTTTCATGGTATTCTGAAGCTTTAGAGAACCTAGAGCCTTTTATCGTGGTGGATGAATTTTGCAAGCAGACGAATAGCGCGATTCTGCTTTGCAAGTCAAGTTCAAAAATGCTTCGGGGATCAGGCCCAAGAGCGGCGTTGAGAAATCTGAAAAAGCCAAAGACCAAACGAAAACGGATGAAAGAATCAGCAGAATAACATGCCGCGCGGAAGCAGTTTTAAAGGCTCCTGCAAGGCATATCATGGGGTTTTAGTGGGCACGGATTGGATAGCGAGAGAGAGAGAGAGAGAGAGAGAGAGAGAGAGAGAAGGAGGCGGGAGGGAGGGAGAGAGACAGAGAGAGAGAGAGAGAGAGAGAGAGAGGGAGGGAGGGAGATAGAAAGAGGGAGAGAGAGAGAGAGAGGGAGAGATGGGAACATGGCCCGGATGGAAACACTAACACAGTTCACCAAAATACGTTGCATAGCGTTATTTTGCACCTGTTCGCGATAGCCTCAGCCGGCCCCGATAGCCCAGCTCATTCTTTATGACTTTCGAAGATTTTCGCTACAAAGCCAATCTAATACACCAAACGCTCATCGTCATAGCCGTTCCAATGACCGCCCTTACCATTACGATTATTATAACGGGCACCCCAACTCGGTCCCGGGCCTATATGCCGTATTTGTTGATGATCGAGGTGTCGTCGTTCATTTTGTTGTTATTGGCTGGGTGGTTGATACCCTGTTATGGGGCTGTCTTCCGGGGAGAACCATTCGCTTGCTTCACCTTCGGGCTGGTTCTGACGGTGACGACAGCGCTTCAGAAGTGGCTGGGAGATGATGACCCATTACTAGGGCTTCGCCTTGAATTGGTGAGGCTTTAAAAAACCTATTTCCAGACAAAAGAAGAGGCCCAACTGGTTCTTTCACATCATCGGGGAAGAGGGCGGGGATCTTTTTTGCATAAGTCTAGAAATGTAGTATCTTCATAGCAACGTCTTAATGGTATTTTTAGTAAGTAAAATAATTATTTTTCAACCAAAAAAAATCTAAAAAATTTGAAAAAGCCGTCATTATCGTCAAAGTTCGGCAATTTTTGGTCCAAAAATTGATATTTTTGCCTATTTCTAATCAATTTTTGTATAGTTTTCATGTTTATGAATAATAAAAAACGATTCTGAAACACCTTCACTATCTTAGCATCTCCCAATTTTTCTCATATTTGACCCATGCCGAGCAAAATGTAAACTTTGAGAAACTTTCTCTTGCACATCGGCCTCATTCCGGAATTTACGAAAGATCGGATTTATTCCGAATTTCTACCGCCATCGAATATATTGATACCTAAACATTACGCTCTGTTTAAGTTAAAAACCCAATTTTTAGGGAGTATTGGGCTATACGGGAGCCACAAATATTGCCGGCTATTTTCACGCGCTCGTCTATAGACACCAGGCAAGGCACACTCTACAATAGTTTTTCACGTGATTAGCAACTTTTGGAGGGCAAAACCCTGTTACGAAGGGGAAAATTCAAGCCAATTCCAGCTCTCCCAGCAGCCCGGAGCCCTGCTGCGAATTAATAAGTACTTGCTGGCCTTCGCTATGGGGGTTGGGTACGTGGCGACTGCGACGACGGGCATCTACTTTGTTTGGAAGCTCGAGCCGAGCCGCGTGGTAGGCCTAAAAGGAGCCGCGTCGCTTAAAATTATGCGATGAAGCGAATTCCGCCTATATTTCGACTTAGCCAAATCGCAACAGCCAAAATACGGACACAATCCCGACAACCCAAATTCCCGCAGCCAAATCCATGTAACAGAAATCCTATAACAAAAATGCCGACAAGCAAGATGCCGACAAGCAAATTCCCCGCAACCCAAATCCCGACAACCAAAATCCCGACAGCGACAGAGATTTTAGACTGTGGACGTTTTGACCGTCGGGATTTAGGTTTTCGGGATTTTGGCTGTCGGCTTTTTCGTCTGTCGGGGGAGTAGTAGGGGTCGGAACCTTGGTTGTCGGTATTTTTACCTACAGGGATTCTGATCGTCAGGATTTCGTCTGCCTGGTTTAACTTTCAGGATATTTGAAACCTCGAAAACCCGATATTGCATTTGGGAAACTATTTTAGGTGATAGCCGAGGTGATCCCTGTTGAATTTGCAGCATTTATGAAAAATAACGCGGCAATCTGCAGTAACACCATCTCATTAGCTTACGGCAGTGTCGTAATGTATGTTTGTTGATTGCTGAAAATTAGATATAGTTTTGGCATTTTCTCTGGTGCGGCGTTGACAAGTCTGTTTGCCCTCCATGCCTATGTTTCACTGAAACGATCGTTGCATAACAAAAAAGCAAGGGACAAGTCAATTCATCTGCTGTTAGCAATGTCAGGCCAGGTACGGATTTCATTAATAATTGGACTACTTGTGCCGAATTTTGCGCTGACTTCGAATCTCGTCTCCATAATTTGCGAAACTGCCAGATTGAAAAGTTATAAAGCTGGTCGTTGTCCAAAAGAGACCCCAAATTGCCTAATTTCGCGGGTTTTTTTATTTTTCTCACTGCATACGATAGCTTGGCAGATTTGAACCTAGATTCGTAAGCAGCGAAAAATGCTGCGTTTCAAAACCCGACTTCCAGTAAAAAAGGTTTCCCCGGAAAACCACACTTTCAGACCGGGTTTGTTTATGTGCTATTTTTAATTCCTTGCATTATCTTTACATTCGCGAAAAAGGACGATGACTATGCGATACTGTGTGAGTTTGGCTGATACGTATTTGGATACCTCAACTCTTTGTTTTCAGGGATCGTATCAATATTGATTGTAAGCCTGCACAACGCTGCCGCTTCACTATTTATCGTCGGCACCACGCCGTCATACCGAAAAACGGCTCGCCTGTTGTTGAATAGGACTCTCCGCTTGGCAACAGGTAAGCGGAAGTCAACATTTATTTGACAAACTATTCAAATCTGTTTTAGGCTCCCTGATCTCTAACCTAACAACAAAAACATCGGTTGTCATCTCGCATGTTTCGCCGATGAATGTTGTGCATCCGAGAAATTTTGGGAGATAAATTTTTTATGGCAAAAGTTTTTTGCAAAAACGATTTACAGACTTGCTTGTGGCGGCTTGAAAATATGGGCCAAGCTGGGTTCTGTGTTCAATTCTGGAGCAGGTGCTCCGGGTCTGAAAGAAGCTGTTTGAGGGCCGGTCCCAGCCTCAAGCTGGGGGGACCTAAAAATAGGAGCGTCTCGGGGGATCAGGTGCCTGAACTTCGCAACAGCATGGACCCGAGTTTGCGCACGGAAATCGAAAAAAACGACACAAAATACGTAAGAAATTTAGGTATCTTATCGTTGTGTTATACTTTACTACCGGATTTCTACCTTCCAAAATTCAACATTTTCGAATCGTCATGACTTAAAATTGTTTTATAATTTTTTGGCACTCAAAAACTAATAACGACATTATAAAATAACACACTATATATTGTTCACAGAAAGATCTAAGAGAATAAATTAAAAATTGGTGTAATTATGTCATAGTTTAACGATAACACACCGCCCCCCATAACACACCAGAACCGGTCGTACGTCAATCGTTTTTCTGTCCAATCGATACCTTTTGAAATCAAGGCCTGAGCTTTGGTCAAGGTAGTTATAGACCCCTAAACAACCGAACTCACTTTTTTGACCGCATTAACCCCACCGATATGACCCCTGTACCTCCCAGATTTTCACCTGCCGTTTGGCAAGACTCGGCAAGAGTGCGACTTCTCCCAATTCTCATGACTTTTGACGACTGGCGAACCGCAGCTTCTATTATATACCAAATCCTGTTGATCAATGCCGTTCCGATGACAGCAATCACCATAGTGATAATTTACACGGCCACCCCGCCTCGATCCCGGCCCTACATGCCGTATCTGCTGATGATCGAGGTGTCGTCGTTTGTTCTGTTGTTATTAGCCGGCTGGTTGACGCCATGTTATGGGGCTGTTTTTCGAGGAGAGCTATTTGCATGTTTTACGATGGGACCGGTACTGACGGTAACCACCGGGATTCAGAAGGTGCTCGGGGTGGACGACGAGCTGCTTGGATTAAGGCTTGAATTGGTAGGGTCAATAGGGTATTGACGGTGCAGTATAAAAACATATAACAAGGAGAGAGAGAAAGCGAGAGAGATAGAGGGAGTGAGAGCAGGAGAACGAGAAAACGAAAGAGAGAGGAGAGAGAGAGAGAGCGAGAGAGATTTATAGATTTATAGATAGAGCGAGTGAGGGGGAATGAGAGAGAGAAACTAGAGGGCTTGTTAGAGTCGATCGAGCGAGCGAGTGAGTGAGAGCGAGTGAGATATACGGAGAGCGTTAGAGTATAAAGAGAGCGAAGTGTCTGGGATACAGCGAGGAGAGAGAGAGAGAGAGAGAGAGGGCGAGAGAGAGATAGTGAAACAAGAGACGGTGAGAGTGAGAGTGTGGGACGCGATGATTTCGTTCTCATTTTTGGACCCAGCAATCGATTTTGTTTTTCAAGGTTTAAAAAAAGAAAAAATATCATGTTATTTCAGGGTGTCTTGGGCTACACTGGTGCCACAAACATTGCCGGATATTTTCACGCCCTTGTTTATCGACACCAGGTGGGGTCCGATTAATACCTTCGCAATACCTTCAACTCTATAGATCTACCATACCTTCCTTTACTTTGCCTCAAATAAGTTTCTATTTCCAGCTCTCGCAACACGCCGGTTCGCCGTTGCGTGTTGATAAATGTGTGTTGGTGCTCTGTCTAGCTTCCGTATACGCAGCCACCGCCCTGACGGGCATCTTCTTGGTTTGGCAGATTGAACCGAGTCGAGTGGTGGGGTTTTAATATTTCTATAGTCACGATGCAGTCTTGGACATATCAATAGGATAATTAGCACGAAAAACACATCAATTGAATGGAAGATTGGTTTCAGATGGTTTCCGAAGTGATTCCCGCCGAATTCTCCGAATTTATGCGGACGAGCGGGGCGATATGTACTAACCCCGTACCATTGACATACGGAAGTGTCGTAATGTAAGTCAACACTTTAAAATTATTTTTTCAAAGGTTCGAGGCTACACTTGTTTTCTTTAAAAAAACTCCAAACCTTCGAACAAGGCCGCCGTGACGGTGTCACGTCATCTGAATTCGAAAAAGTCTTGTTAAGTGTTTGTCAAAACCACGAAAACAATCTACAGGGTGTCCCAAAAAAATCCCCCATGTCTCGATAGCGTAGGAGAGCAGACATCTATTACATTTATTCGTAGCGTGTCCCCGGTGGGGTGACACCTCGTTGAAGTAAATGAGGGCGGAGAAGCCGGGTTCGGATCGGATGACTGAGGCAATCACAACGAGAAATCGGGGCTTTATATACCAGGGAACACAGGGAAATCAGGATGTAAATGAGGGGAAGGGATGGTTATTACGGTTCCAATGCCTGCATGCGCATGCAGTCGCGGGATCGCGACACCCCCTCTACCTGGCGAGCCGGAGAGGTGTCCGATTTTTACGGTTTTGGTATTTATCGAAAGCTCTCGAAAAGGTGAGTCCAGCACGACTCCCGAAATTTTGAAATTCTGGATATTTTCTGACTTTTACTAATATTTTTTTCGAAAAGAGCCGCATTTCTAATGCTTTTCGGATAAGAGGGTTGTTACAAAAATCACAATTTATGGATTTTTACGACTTTTCCGGAACCGCAAAGACAGCTTTTTGAAAGCCATTTGAGAAAACACAGCTTGGTTGGTGCTTAAACCGGTTAAATTGGGGGTTTGCCAAAAAGGGTCGCCTTTTTGCATAAAACATACCAAAAATCGGGCAAAAAATTCTGGACTTTCAAAGTTTCGAGCGGCGACTCGCATTTTTGGGAACTCTCGATAGATACCTAAATCGTAAAAATCGGACACATCTCCGGCCGGATAGGTAGGGAGGATTTTTTTATTTGGGACACTGTGTACAGAAAACGATTTTTGGAAACATGACTTTGAGGTTTTTGCAAATCACTTAGCCATTGGAAATACAAGCTCGCCGCGCTACCATATAACCAAAGCAAATGCAAATCGGTGCAAAAAAACTAAAGCTTTACACGTCCCCTTAAAATAGGGGACAACTCTGTTTCAGTTGCGGCATTTTTGCCGGGGCCGCCCTGACGAGTATCTTCACCTTTCATGCATACCTCTCGCTGAAGCGATCCCTGAACCATAAAAAAGCTAAAGACAGCTCAATTCATTTGCTGTTGGCGATGGCTAGCCAGGTTGGAAGGAAATTTTCGCTTAAACTACTGAATTAGACCGGACGGTATATTATCCTATTCGTAATCCCATGCGGTATACTAACCTTTGCGAAAAAGGACGATACCTATGCATGCATGTGTAAGTTTTTAATGAATCCTTTTTTGTCAATCTACGCAAAATTTTACATATTTTTATTGGGGAATTGATATTTAGGGATATTGGCTATATTGATTGCCAGCCTACACAACCTTACTGCCTCCATATTTATCGTCGGCACGACACCGTCATATCGAAGAGCCGCACAGCTGATTTTTGATCGCCTTCTGAGGCTGACGGGGGCAGGTGAGGCTTAGGCTCAGGCTTAGGGGGTATGCTTAGGCTTAGGGCTTAGGGCTTAGGCTTAGGCTTAGCTGAAGGCATGCTTAGGCTTAGGGCTCTAGGGCTTTCAGGCTTAGGGCCTAGGGGTCTGCTGGGGGAGTTTAGGGGCCAGCCAGCTTTGAGCTTAGGGGTCTGCTGAGGCTTAGGCTCGAGCTTAGGCTTAGCTTATGGGCATGCTTTAGGCTTAGCCTAGGCTTAGGCCCAGTCTGCTGGAGGCTTAGGCCTAGGGGGCGGCGGAGGCTTTGTTCAGGGGCTTAGGGGTCTGCTGAGGCTTAGGGCTTAGGCTTAGGCTTAGGCTTAAGGGGTATGCTTAGGCTTAGGGCTTAGGCTTAGGCTCAGGCTTAGGGGTCTGCTGAGGCTTAGGGCTTGGGGTTATGGTTAGGCTTAGGGTCGAAGCTCTGAAGCCAGCTTTTCTTCCTTCTTTCTATGCTACAAGCTACAAGCTGCCTAATTTTTTATGATGAATGTTTATAAACTTGAGAAAGCCCACAATTTTACAACGAAATCTAAAAAATCCAATTTTTCGCCTGGCCCTCTTTTCCGCTGAAAAACACGTGCCAGTCAATTACATGCAAAAACGCTGCTGAGAGGCATTGAAATGTGCTAAAAAGTGCTGCACCCAAATCAAAACATAAATAAGCAAATGCTTGCAAGTCTGCTTGCACT